GGTGGTGGTGATGACAGATGATGGTAGTGGTAATGATGGTGATGACAGATGATGGTGGTGGTGATGGTGGTGGTGATGGTGGTGGTAATGATGGGGATGACAGATGATGGTGGTGGTGATGACAGATGATGGTGGTGATGATGATGTGGTCATGGTGATGACAGATGATGGTGGTGGTGGTGATGGTGATGGTGATGACAGATGATCGTAGTGGTAATGATGGTGATGACAGATGATGGTGGTGATGATGATGTGGTCATGGTGATGACAGATGATGGTGGTGGTGATGGTGGTGATGACAGATGATGGTGGTGATGATAATAGGTGGTGATGGTGATGATCATGATTGATGGCGATGGTAATGTTAATAGTGGTGATCGTGGTGATGGTGGTAGTGGGTAGTGTGATGATGATGATGTTGATGATATTGATAATGGTGCCAGTGACCATGAATGTGATTACGGGGATAATGATGATAGTGGTTGGTGAGAATTGTAGAGGTGATGGTGGTGAAAGTGATGATGACCATATTATATAGAATGCTATTCTAAAGCGTGTACCATTCTATTTGGTATTCTGTAGTATGGAAGAATGCGAGGCTTTGTGCACACAGTTAGCCATTATGGTAAATGGTAAATTCAAATGTCTGGGTGGAATACAGCATCTTAAGAGCAAGTAAGCAACGACAAGAGTTGCAATTATATTCGAATAATTTGGAATAATATTTGAAAAAGAAATAAAACTATTAGAGTGTTTATAATTGAAACATATATTTGCTGTAGATTTGGTTCAGGTTACACACTCATGTTAAAGATCACTCCACCAGAGATGAACGTCGTGTCCTCAGGACCACCAAGTCCTATAGCAGCTTTCAACTCCGAGCAAGGATACTTTGATGATCCAAACGTTACTCCTCTACGTGATGGTGTGTAGAGTCTACGCTCGATATAACTAATTAGGTTTTTGTGGATGGAAATGGACAACTTGCATGTTAGACTAAATTTTAATCTAAGTAAAGAGAAGGGAATAAAACACAACAGTTAAAACGAAAACAATGAAATTAGTAAAATTGCAAAATTTGGTTACGAAATGTTGTAAAATACAGAAAATATAGCCTTGCGAAGTTTGCATATTTTCAGTATATTTGTATTACGTGCGGAAATCGTTACCATTTTCGGCTCAAAAATGGTAACAATTTCC